TTAATCTAGTGAATGCTGATGCTATATTGGGAATAATATGTCAATGGCTGCTTATGCGTACTGGCGTATTTGTATTTATTTCATTGAATGACTTGTGAGTTGACCTGGGTTTGCTGTGCAGATATTTGGTCATATGACTGCGCCAGAATGCGCAGTGAGAAGGGATGATCTAGTTGCTGTAAAGACAATTTAGGAATGGAGAGGAGAATTAGAGATAGAAACATAACTCTTCAAGTCTCTTGTTGTTAAATTCCCCTGCAAAACCAGCATAGCTGGCTGCCATCTTCCTCAGCTCTGCTGGCAGGAGTACTAACACCAGTAACACCAGCACCCACAGCTACTTGGTGCTTCTTGTCCTCTGCTAACCTCACAAAAAGGAAAAACTATGCCTGCACTGCATTGATGTTTTCTGGAAGGAATAAGCACATTTTCATGTTAAAAGTAGAGTTTCTTGCATAAGCCACCTGCGTTTACAGGGCCCTTCTCTACTTACATCCTACAGAACACAAGAACTTAAAGACAAGGAAACATTCAGAACTGAGATTTTGAACTGGGAGAACTGTGATAGACAGACAGGCTGCCTGCTTTCACTTTGGCAATTTTCACGCAAAGGGAGCAAGCTTCAGCAAAGAGCTCATTCCACACCAGCCTGCCCTTTGGGGGCTGAATTCAAAGGACATGAAGAGCTGCTTGGAATGGAGAACTATTGTTATATCAATCTTAAAACAAACTAACTAAACCAACAAAATAACAACCACAACAATAAATTACAGTAACAACAACAACAATAAATGAACAAAACAGAGTGAACTAAAGCTTGAATCCGGCAGTTTGATGTCTTTCTGATAGAGAAGATTAAAACTATTGGGCTGCTAAGCTAGTTTAAAACTACTGCTTATAGTAGTAATAATCGCACCTGGGTGCTCAGAGAAGGTATATGCAGATTTTTCCCATAATTTCCCTCCCCAAGAAATGTACAATATGCATAGTTTTGGTTTTCAGGAGACAATCCGAATATTTGCTTTTTACTTCCTGACTAAATTATTCTGTGATCTTGTCTTGCTGCTTTCTAGTCCAATCAGGAGCTTCAAGCAGCATCAAAATCTGCAGCTTATGTAGGATTGTTTGCACGCACGTGATTAGGTTTGGGATGATCCTGCAGTCTGTAGAATGTGCTCTCTTTCTACAAGCGGTTCAGTCAAATCAGAATAGTACGCATTAAATTTTCCTCATGTAGTGTTTGTTTGGAATTAGTAGCTGCAAATAAAGCAATGGATTCTTTGGCTTCTGGAGTGCCAACTGACTTTTCAGTGGCTGGTGGGGTTTTTTCTCATTATTTTTGTTTCTTCCCACTGGTGACTGCACACCCTTCTTCTTACTGACAGTCTCTCAGAAACAGGAGAAAGTTGTGATTAAAGCATTAACAACCATGTGGCATTAAAAACTTGGGCAACCTGGCAAATGCTGGGAGATTTTCTGAATCAGTGGCAAGCGAAAGAGTGAACATGCAGAAAGGCAGTAGGGCACGCCATGACATGAGAGGAGATGCACAACCAGACCTTTGGATGGCTCTGCAGAAGATAACAATGTGAGAGTGGTGTCTGTGCCCTCCCTCTTTCTCACGAGGCCAAGGAATGTGCTTAACTGTGTATTGCCTCTGAAGGGCATCAACACTGCTGTAGGAAATTTGGAGGTGTGTTTGATTTTAGAAAAGGCTTTTGAGGCATTTATTACCTCTGCAGCATTGTGCAGCCACTTTGAAGCACTCTTCTTAAAATGAGGCTTTTTATTTGGAATTTTTTTTTAAAGTCTGTGATACGTGCTCCAGTTTTATTCATTACACATTTCTGTTAGTTGACTGGTGGGTTCCTCTTTTTTCATGGTATTTTTAAAATTGCACTTTGAGGAAATGTGTCCTAGAAAAGCAAATCAAACAAGCTTTTGCTCTGGCTAACAAAGGGCAGTGAGGAAACTGTTGCAGTAGCATTGATGCACTGAGCTGAAGATAATAGTAAGCAGTATCACAAGCAGAAAGAAAGCTGAAAAAAAAAAGATGGTACTTTTTAAGATGTCTCACCATACTCTGACATAAAGGATGTAGATCCCCTCAGATAAGGTTCCCTGCAGGTGCCAGCAGGAGCAATCAAAACTGCTATTCATGATGACAAATATTTTCTACCTAACAGGCCCCAGTGAAAAAGCATTGAATTTCTTCTCTGTGAAAAATATCTCATCTCTTGATTTGTCCAGCCTTTCTGATGGGCTGGAGTTTTAGACAAAGTAAGAAGACGAATCTTGTTCCAGGTACTCTTGGATGTGCTCTACCCTTGCTTGGGTTGTCAGGCTGTCAGAGAGCACTTGCCTAGCAGTGCTCTGTGGGAGGTTTCACCAGCCAAATCCACTACTGGTGTCAGGAAATGACTTAGGGAATGTGGAAGCCCCAAGTAAGAGTGATCCCTGGACATGGCAACCCAGGCCTTGTGAAGAGACAGATGTCCTTCTCTTGCATTTGCCTCTGTGAAAAGCAGAGAACATGTTCTTCAAGGTTTTGAGTCTGGCAGCTGGCTTTGGCCTCTTGTCTGAGTGAGACAACCCTTGGTTGGCCTTGTGATGCATGCAGCTAAAAGAGGTTACTGATCTTTTGTACCTCGTCTGCTGCTCTTTACATCACAACCCACCTCTTAAACAAGTGTTTCTTTCAGCAGCTGGAGCATCCAGATGCTGCAATCTGTTCTGCCAGCAGCGGAGGCTGAGCAGCAGCGTTCACACTGAGAACTTGCTTCCTGACAGATTGTTCACGTTTCACTTCCTATATTGGGTGCTGGCCCCCATGGGAATGGTGTTCTGTGGATTTTTAAGCTGATTGGTTCAGCCACTTGTTGATGTCACATTGGCCCTTTTACCCCTCCATTGCAGAAACTTGAGTGGCAGCCACATTATCACTGACATCCTGGACAATGTTTCCACTGCTGGAAGTAGTACATGGTGCAGCTTTCAAGATAGCAAGAAGAGAAATGATCACCTAAATGCTTTGTGTAAAGAAAGGAGGATATTTCTCCCTTATCAACAAATTAAAATACTGTCTACATCCAACCAGAGAGTAGTCCAGTGCCCATCTGTTCCCATGCAGATGTCCCCATGCGACTCTTATGATGATAAGCATGATAAGCTCAACTCATATTGTCCTTGACGTGGATTCTTCTGCTACTGTATTGTGTGAAGATACTTTAGTCCGTGCACAAAGGACTGGAGGAGACAGACACTTTTTTTCACATTGTGTAGTAAACAAATTTCAGGTTACTCTGCATTACTGAAATTGCAGGTTGCATAATGCTCTGAGCTGAAGAATTTACAGCATCTGTACTGTGTGCAGGGAAGCAAAGCTGGTTTCTATGTATGCATGACCATCTAGATGACCCCTTTCCTACTGCAGACAATCAAAATGCAATAGAGGAATTAAATTGGTTGCAACAGGCATTGACATAACACAGATAGAGCACTTAAAGAAATGTAGCCTGCTGAAAGGATGCATTTCACATGGGCATGTGAAACCCAGCTGAAAAAAAGTTTTATGTAACTCTTCCCTCTAACTGACTGACTGACTTTGAAAATGTACAGTCACAGCCTGAAGGCTGAAAAGTCCCCTCTGCTACCCCTAACCTTCAAATTACCGCATGAAAACACTGTTGGAAAAAGAATGTTTGAAGCAAGATCTTTGGAGCTAAGATGCCTCTGCTAAACCTGGAATTGCTCACTGAAATTTACTTGAAAGTAGCTGGAGGATTTATCTGCTCTTTCGTTCATGAAGAGGTTTGTGAGCTCTTGCCATGAATGAGTGACTTCAGCTAAGGGTACTGATCTCTCTCTTCCAGCTCGGTGCATTTGCTAATGTGACAAAAGAGAAAGCAGCTTATCCTGCCTGAGTGGCTGCTGCCTGCTGCAGGAGGACCACAACTGGCTGGTCCTGGCACTGGTGCTGCATGATTCTGGAGGGCCAGAGCACCAGAGGCCTGCTTGCCCCTCCAGAGAAAGCGAGCTGCACATCTTCAAAAAGGTTGTGGATATTTTAAAAAGTCTGTATGTTTGAGACCTGTGACAAATTGGTCAGCACATGCACAATATTTAGAAGTTTTTCTCTCTCCTCCTTGTTCTCTTCCCAGCAGTGACAGTGCACTAGAAACAATTCCATATGGCTATGGAAGGAAGGGAAGGGGAGGCGAGAGGAAGGGAAGGCAGGGGAGGGGAGAAAGAAGAAGGGAGGAGCACTGATTTGTCAGCTGTTTGTTGCTTTGACAAGCTGAAAGTAGTTAAAACTGTCCTCTTGACTGTTTTGTTTTCCACGCATGCAAAATAAATTCTATATAGTGTATTTCATGATAGAGAATCCTCTTCGGGATGAAAAAGGGATTTGAATTCAGTATATTATGGTGAAATTTTCCATTGCTCAAATCTCCAGACTTGAAATGTATGTTGCAGAGAGATCAGCAAAGACAATTAGAGGGCTATGCCTCCAGCTTTTGCTTTTATGCATTTCTAACCTCATCTCAACGCAGAATCTTTCAATTGTAGTGCAAAAAAAAAAAAAGGGAAAAGAGGTCAATGCCAATATAATGTCTAAAGAAAAGGTGTAACTGATGTGATGTTGGCTTTTAACATTGCACATGGTCTTTAGTGATTGCATCTTGCATGGCTCTGAGAAGAACATATTAATAATTTGTAATGACACATGGCTTCTAAACTACCGCATTCTTTTTTTCTCTTTAAAGTGAAAAACTACATAATTTTCTTGCAGCTCATGTTGTATCAGAACTTGTGCTTCTAGGAGGATATTCACTCTTTAAAAAATGTCAAAACACGTACTCCAGCACTTAGGAAGAATGCTCAGTCAAAGCCAGCCTGCTCTCACCTCTGACAGACTGATTAAGATGAAGTGTTTGGTACCTACATGAGAGATCAGATATATTATGCTGAATGGGTACCGTAGAGAGCCAGCGACTTACCACATCAATTATCTGCAGCAAAGAAAGCTGAAGCTCAACTACAATGGGCTGGGAGTCATTCATGACTGGGCGCTCCAGACGATTGTAGTTTCTCAGTAGATCTCTGTACAAGCGTCTCTGGCTTTCACCCTGCTGAGACACTAGGAGAAAAGAAAGAAGGTCACTGTCACTCAGGCTGGTCGTGCTGTCCCAAGGGGGACAAATGATAATTTGTCTGTTTAGCAAAAAATGCTTCTTAATGTGTCAGTAATTTGAAAGCATTTCCCAAAAGTTCTCCAAATCTCTAATATAGGTGTGACAGACACGTCTTTTCTGCATATGTGACTGACGAACTTCTAAAGAGAATAACTATTAATGCTCTAGCTATTTACAAACACTCAGGAACTACTGAGCAGTCTTTTGGGCTCAGAGTAAAAGTTCCCCACATCTGGGTTTCCCTCCTGACAACGGTCAGAGGCGCCAAAACTATCAGACAACTTGCTGGAAGGTAGTAAGAGAGCTTTTTTTATTTGCTCACTCTTATTTCCTGCAGTGGACTGCAGTGTGCCAGCACTGGTATTACTTGGACACATTCTGTGTTTATCCAGCATGAGCAACAGGTATACTTATTACTCACAGCAGATTTATCAGGCTTTTCTGGGTGTGTACTCAGGAAGTAGTAAAAAGCCTTCTTCACACTGCCTTCAGTTTTATGTGGCAGTCTCTCCAGGCTTTGGGTTACTTCCCTTGCCTTTCTTCCAAATAAGGTGATGGTATGAAGGCTAGAATATTTGACAGGTATGTACAATGTTGATATTGAACTGAAGATGTTAGATGTTTAACTTCTCTTTCTGTGGGAATATTCAGCAGAAGATGCCATGCAGACACATAAACTTGTTAATGACTAGCAGAACCTCAATATGTGATTAAATTGCATAATGCTGCTGTGTATTGGCTCCTCAGCTTTGCACTGGGTACAGAGAGAGTTCATGTAAGTGTTTTTGCTGTGCTTCCTGGCCACAGCTATCATGGATGCAGCAGTGATGGATCAGGGCTCATCCCTGTCAACGCCAGCAGTTTGCTGGGATACACTGCTCGGGAGCTCAGGTCCCCCAAGAGGTGCACGTGCTGAGAGCTGCATCAAACAGGGTGAGTGTCATGGGCTGCAGCTCCCTGAGGACAAATCACTCTTGTCAGTGTGAGTATGCATTCCCGGATCTGTGGAAAACCAACCCCTGAGAGGGAATCTACTCTCTGAATAGTTATTACTTTGGACTGAAGCATTTTTACTCCATTGCAGCTTCTGGTGTCTGTGGATGTGACTCTTAAACTCTTGACCAGAGCTCTTCACACTGAGGCCAGGACTCCTCCCACAGTAGTTAATTTGAATGCCTTTGTGACAATCCAAGCAAACACTAAGAGCCAGCTTTCCTATTCCCCAGCTTTTTACTGTGCTCAGCAAGCCCTGTAAGCCTGGAACAGGCATCTCTCAAATACAGCAGCCAGACCTTTTAAAGCCGGTAATATTGCTCTATTTATAATCCTGTTGAATTCATGTTCCCTTTGGCTTTTCTGGTACTAAACAGAATTTTGTGGCTTCTGAATATGGCAGTGCCTGGTGAATGAGAAGTATTTCTGTTTAATTTGGTGAGCTGCACTGACATATCAGTTTTATGGACACTCTCTTTTTGAATAATACATTACATGGTCATGGGGTATGAGGGGATGAGATGCCTTAGGGCTGCTCCAATAGCCCTTGCTGACACACTGAATGCCACGTTTAACCATCTGCAATAAGCAGTTCTGGCCACAGTTTCTCTGCTTCACCAGTTTAAACAAGCTTTCCTGCAAGGTACTAATTTAGGTTCTCAATATTTGTTTTCCAGTGCCTCAGCACACCCCAATTCCCTTGTAAGACCCCTCTGTAAGAAGGAAAACAGGGAAAACAGCAACACAGTGTCTAATGGATAGAGACTCTATGATTTGAGCAAACTTGCTGTCTTTTCATTTTCCCAGCATGCTCCCCTAACTTCCTTCTCCATGTTCCTGTGCTTTAGGGAAGGAATGACTGTCTGCACTTCTGCCCTCATCCTGAGTGCTTATGTAATGGTTGCCTCCAAAACTCTTTTTAAACTGTCTACCTCAGCTTTTGCAACAGTGAAGTGCCTTCTCCAGGCTCTGGTCAGCTTGACTGCTCAGTGCCCTGATATCACCACTGTTGTGGTGCATTAAAAGAGCTCGTTCAGAGAGGTCTGACTGGGAGAGACATGAGCATAACCTTAAGTATTCCAGGAAAATGTCTTCACACTGTGAGCTCAGCTTACAGCATTTTACTACATATTACTGCTCTTCTTAAACCTGGTTTGCCATCCCATCCTCAACTCTCCCCTCTGCAGTGGGGTCCTGTTACTTTCCTACCTCTTGTAACCAAAATTGTTAAGGTATCCTTAGCTGGTCTATACACTGCCTGGCTGAACTGGCATGAATAGCTACATGTCTGTGCGCTCCCAGTTAAGTATATAAAATTACAGAGATTCAGAAGCAGTGGTTGTCTTGGAGTGTCCTAGAATGTAGCTGTGGCAGTTGTTGGCATTACAAAGACCGGGTAAGTCCAATCACAATACCATTTCTCTGTTACGTTTGCTTCGGAGGAGGAAATGAGGTGGGTGGCAAGTCAGACCTTTGTTTTCATAGACTTTTTCTTTAAATTGTAATTTTCAAATACTGAATGTCTCCTATTCCAGAGAGATTGCTGCTTTTTTCTCTTGCAATGCTTGTGTTAATGCATTGTGACACTACATCTCTGTGTGCTAAGTGGAGTGTTTGATGAAGATGAGGAAGTCTGGATCTCTCAGGAATACTGGTAGAATAAGCTTTTCCACTGCCTACCCTTCAGACACAGAAACCTTATCAAAAGCAGAGGCACTGTGAGCTCACTGGTCACTAATGCGTTGTTTCACCTTTTCAATTAGGCTGGAAGTTGGCTGTCGAAACTTAATGATGCTAGGTTAGTCTCCCAAAGTCTGCTACCAAGCAGACTTGCTTCGCTATGTGTGTTACAGTAGAAGTACAAGTAACTGGCACAGACATTAAGAATTATGTTTTCTGGCTGTAGGGTCTTTGATTATAAAAGCTGCTCACTCTGAGTAAAAAAAGTCCCACTGCCTGAGCCAATATCCCATGTGTTGCTTAATTATATAGGAAACAGTAGGAAATAATTCTCAAACGAACACACAAGTAGAAATGGTAACAGACTGAAATAGAAGAAATACAATTTTTTTTAAAAAGGGAAATGATTTTTATTTATTCAGTTACTTATTTTTAATGATCAAATTTGATTTCCAAGTTCTTTTTCTGGTGAAAGGGATAAAAAGTACTGAGGACTTGGAGGGGATGTGCACCAGATACTGAAGGGCTCTATTTTGTGGAAAGGGCACCAAAGCTGGCTATATGTGGGACCAGAAATTGAAAACAAACAAGCAAAATAAAATCTGAGAACAGAACATGATTTCCAGCAAGGAATGTTGTAAGCTTCTATAATAGAAGGTATTTCATCTCAGTGTCCCCATCAGGGCTGCTGGATTTCTCTCTTGAAACAAAAGGCTGCTGGGCTGGAATTATTAAGTGAAATGCAATTGCGAAAGGTAGGCAGAATTTTGGAGTATGCTGTGACTCAGCGACTCAGCTTTACACTCTGTGTAACCTAAATTGGTTCCCTAAGCTGCTCCTGCAGTTTGCAGACATTTGGCAGGCACAAGACAATTAACCCATGGCAGGGATAAAGTCCCCTTATGGTATTGTGAAGAGCTTCATGTAGAGTAGATGTATTCATGGACTACGTTAATGTAGTCTGTACCTCTCTGGATCTCCTCTCATACAGCAGCCTGTGCAAAGTCTACAACACACCCACACTGCAATGTTCACCAGTTGATAATTGTGACCCATAAGCAGCTACAGAATTCTTCTGGAAACACACATTATCATGAAAATGTATCTTTTTAGGACAGAGTTGCTGAGAACTACTCTGCAAGGTAACCTGCCCAGGAAATATTTCTCTATTGCAGTATGCTACCATCTTCTCTAATAAAATAAAATATGTGTCCCTTTAAATGTATTACTGTGAGATTAGAGAAATCCCTCGTGGGGAGCAGTGTGGTGTGCTGGATCAGGGAATGATGTAAATGAAAAATCAGGATGTGGCTTCTCTATGGGCTTATTTCTGAAATGCATGGGAACAGCTGTCCTTCTCCACCATTCACCTACAGCATGCTTGCCTTAAGTTATTTCTGCAAGAAACAAAAAAAAGGCACCTTGCTACCAGCTCACAGTTTGGCTCCATCTTTCTTTGCACACACACAGTTTGCATGTAGGATTTCAGCAGTTGGATATAGACATGTTGCAATTCCCCAGACAGGTCAGGCAGAGTCAATAGGAATAAAACACAAAATATTTGGTTATCAAATAAACATCTGCAAAGCTTTAGTAGCTAAGCTGCAGAGATCTCCTCAGAGCAAGTCTAGAAGCAAGTTAATAATTGCATCCAGGAATCTGGATAAGTGTGGCTTAACGGCTAGAAGGAGAGAGGCATCTCTGATAAGATTTGCACAGATGGTGTCTCATACTGACTATGAGCCACCATGGCGCTTATAAAGGGTTTTGAATTCTCTGAGATACTGAGATCAGATCAAGCTGGTGTTGGCTGATGTCACCTCCAACTCAGCAACTGGGCATGCCTACACTCAAGCACAAAATGTCTTGCTGCTGGTGATGTCAAGGAGAGCTGCCTCAGTTAGCATGTGTACTTTGTGGTGACATAAGATACATTGACCTGAGTGAGTGTGACTCAGGTATCTGTGCTTTCCACAAAACTAAAGTTAGGTGTTTAAATGACCCCCAACCTCCCGGCAGGAAAAAAAGAAAAAGAAAGTAATCTGATCAAAACCAGTGAAGCCACTACCCCTACCCTGTGTGCTGCATGTGGTTTGCACTGGCTTCCTCCACTAACAGTTTGCTTGTCCTACTGAAGAAACACACGACAAGTGGCTATGGGCTGACCACACACCTCTTCTACCCTCTCTGTCTGCCTTGTTCCTCTGGACTTGGCTTGCTTCTTCTGTGCTGGAGTGGCATCCTGACTTCCTACTGTGCCAACACAACACTC